AACTCGTTTGTATGTACCAAGAGTCTCTCTCTCTCTCTCTCTCTCTCTCTCTCTCTCTCTCTCTCTCTCTCTGTGTGTGTGTGTGTGTGTGTTTATAAGGCTTGTATGTTAATGCAAGTCAAAGCTGTGTTTGTGTGTGTGTGTGGGCAAATGTGTGTTTATAATACATGTGTGTTTATGGAAGTCAGAAGTTGATGTTGTTACCAGGGAAACTGAGGTTCCTTTTTGTGTGTGTGTGTGAGATTCTAAGTCTCCTCAATAAAAGAATTTGGAAACAGATTCAAGAGGAAGCTTGAGGGCAGTTTCATGAAAGTTTAGAGAAAAACAGCAGGGTGATCTTGACAGCTGCAAGAGAAGAGACATGAGAAACCTTTCCCCTGTCCCGCCAAAGGCCTGTATGCCTTGAACTTTTCCCCTTCCCATCATTCTGATTAGCCAGCTGCGGCAGATTGTGAAGTCGGGCTCTCACAAGTGGAAGGAGATACAGTAACCACCTGTGCTAAAGATAAAAGAGAGGCCATCTTGGCCACGTATGTTCGCTAGCTTGGTTTGGGTTTTGGTGCACTCTTTTTACAAAATTAAACTGCCTTGCCAAGTTACTTTTGCTTTGTACCTGTATTTTGTTGTGTAATTCCAAGATTATTTGCTTCCAGCAGAGACATCTAGAAGAGAAACCTGGACTGTTTGCAAAGGAGTTCAACAAGTAGCCGCTCTGGGGAGGGAGGAGGAGGCTTCAGAAGCTCAAAAGCCCAGAGTGCCAGAGAAAGCATGCCTATTCCCAAAAAAAGATAAAGAAAAGGGGTTTTTTTTTGTTTTTTTTTTTTTTAAGCCATGCTTTTCTGAGTCCTTAGTAAGGCATGGGGTAGAGACTCCATAGAGTTGCATGGTGAAAGCAGCTGCTGGTCTCTGTGCCGAGAAAGGTCTCTCAGAAGAAAGAGCGCACTATCTCATTAAAAGGATAAAGTAGCAGAGCTTTCTATGAACTGCCAGTTTCCTAATAATGACATGGAGACTTCTTATTTAATATGAAAGCTTGACCTTAGCTTAGGCTTGTTCTTAACTAGCTCTTATAATTCGAATTAACCCATTTATATTGTGTATGTTCTGGCACAAGGCTTGCTACCTCTCCTCCATATTGTAATCCGACTCCCTCCACATCTTTTTTTTCCTTTTTCTTTTTTATTAATTATTTCTTAAAGATTTCTGCCTCCTCCCCACCACTGCCTCCCATTTCCCTCCCCCTCCCCCGGTGTGAAGTCCCCCTCCCTTGTCAGCCCAAAGAACAATCAGGGTTCCCTGCCCTGTGGGAAGTCCAAGGACCACCCATCTCCATCCAGGTCTAGTAAGGTGAGCATCCAAACCTCCCTTCACATCTTATCTCACTGGCTTAACTCCTTGAGCCTCAGCTTCTTCCCTAGTTCCTCTGTCTCCCTGGAAGTCCCACCTATTCTTTCCTACCTAGCTATTGGTCATTAAACTCTTTATTAAACCAACCAGAAGGCACCCTCAACAGAGACACATCTTTACAGTGTACAATAAAGATTATCTCACAACAGAATAATAGTCTCTTCCTTCTAATTTTGAGTAGTTTAGAAGGTCAGGTCTGCACTCAGAGATAGAGATGGAATGTAGAACACAGTCTAGATACCTTTTTTACACATAGTAATTTAAATTATAAAAATATGACACAGCTGATATTTACATTTCTAGTGTTACCAGGGAAACAGAAGGTAGAATCCAAAGCTTCCATAACCTGAAGCTACTGTAGCAATGTTGAGCTTCTTTCTCTAGCATCCCTCACTCCCTACCCCTCTCTCTTGAGACAGAGTCTGGAGCTCAAAACTCTAGTAAGCGGGGTTGGAGAGATGATTTAGTGGTTAAAGACACTTGCTACTCTTCCAGAAGATTCAGTATCAATTTCCAGCACCAACATGGCAACTCACAATTACCTGGAACTCCAGTTCCAGGGGATTCAATGCTCTCTTCTGGCCTCTGTGGGCACTTGCATATGCACAGTGCACATACATACATGCAGTCAAAACTCACATGCATAAAAGAAAACAATTAAAATTGATCTTAAAAATTAATTGAAAGCAAGCTTAGCTGAACTCCAGGGGTCCTCCTCCCGTCTCTGCCCGCTCCTCTGCTCTGATATTGCAGACTCATGCCCCTGTATTTGGCTCTTTCTGAGGGTGCTGAGGATCTGAACGGATGTCCTCCTGTTTCAGCAGCAGACAGTTTATGGTTTGAGCCCTCTCCTCAGGCCAGGCCAACTTTGTATTTTTGGCTTTTTGTTTTTGTTTTAATCTTCAAGAGGATGTATACTGGTGTGTTGGTTTGCATAAGATATGTTCCCCCCAGGCTCCAGGATTTGAATACTCAGTCCTCAGCTGGTGGTGCTGTTAGGTGTGTAGAAGATGTGGCTTTGTTGGAGAAAGTGTGTTGCTGATGGTGAGATTTGAGAGCTTGAAACCTCTGCTTCTGTTTATGTTTGAAGATGTGAACTTTCAGCTTCCTGTTCCCATCGCCATACTTGCTGTGACGGACTCTGGTCCCTCTGAACAGTAAGCCAAGATACATGATTTCTTCCGTAAATTGCTTTTGGTCAGTGCTTTGTCACAACAGCAGAAGAGGAATTCATCCAACTGGGTTCGAAAACATGACATAACCCCAAAGTTGGAAGCGAGAACACAAACCATGCCAGTTCTCAAGGAGCTTCTGAATGAGTATCTACAGAATTTACAAGGAAAACAGTGTGTCACTGTCAAAGCCGACAAGCTACAAAAGCTAATAGAGAGAAGAATAGTGCCAGGAAGACATTCTGCCAAATCAACTCAGCAAACTGTAATCCTTTGTAATGAGTCCATTAGTTAACGGGCCACAGAAGGATACTGTAAAAAGCTTCAAAGCATTTTCCAAAAGAGCATCCACACACCCCTCCCTCCTCCGCTCACTTAAGGAATACTTCACTCAACAAACCCTTAAGTGATTCAAGGAAGTCCATTTCAGTCTTGTCTGAATTCTCCAAATTTTCACAAAGTAAACATTTTAAGGATCCAAAGGGAAAAGCTTCCACAGTGAAACAGAAGAAAAGCAAAGGCCACTGGTGAAAGAATACAAATATTCATGGCCATTCACTGAGCATCATGGACTCGCTAAGGGTACCAGGGACAGTTGGGATTTTTGTCTGCCTGCAGCCTCTTATAGTTTAATCAGTGATTGACAGTGTAATTATAAAAAGAAACCACATTAGCCAAATGTGAGTTCAGGGCTAGGATTTTTATTCCTCTGACTAGTAGTGATCGATTAAAAAAAGTTTCCAAATACTGAGCCCTAAAGCAAAATGTTTTAGAAAGAAGCTTTCTAATCATTCTAAAAATATCTTTAAAAAAATAAAGAAAGAATACAGCTCTCTGCAGGAAAACAAATAGAGACAAGTGAAATATGATGAGACTCTCCTAAGGTCTTACCATCAAAAGATAAACTTGAATTTTTTATCCTTCTGGGTTTTCACATGAAAGTTGTGTATTTATTGGCCAAACAGGTTTTTACACATTGTTTAAAATCTGGTCTTCACTACCTTTTCCTCCTCCTCCTCATCTTCCTTTTGGCTTTTCAAGGCAAGTTTTTTCCTTGTAGCCCCAGCTGTTCTGGAACTCGCACTGTAGACCAGGCCAGGTTCAAACTCAGAGATCTTCCTGCCTCTGCCTCCTAAATGCTGGGATTAAAGGTGTGCACCACCATGCCTGGCTATTTTACCCTTCTTAATAATTAATCATGAACATGTTACTATGGTAGTAAACTAATAACCACAAGGTCTCTTTTGTTTATTTGCTTTTTGTTTTTCAAGATAGAGTTTCTCTGTATAACAGCCCTGGCTGTCCTGGAACTAGCTCTTATAGACCAGGCTGGCCTCGAACTATCTGTCTCTTCTTCCCAAGTCCTGGGGTTAAAGGTATGCACCACCACCTCTAGGCTTTATTTATTTATTTTGGTTTTTCGAGACAAAATTTCTGGGACTGAAGGTGTGCACCATCACTGCCTGGCCACAAGATCATTTTTTTACTGTCAAAATCACAATGAGGGTCTTTGACCAGCTTATTTTTTCTCATCTTTCTTCATCAAAATGATGGTCTAACCCAGTCTTCATCTGTACCTTTAAATACATCACATACTTCTGTAAGAAAATACTTCTCAGTTTGAATAAAATTCAGAATAATTGAATAGTATGGGAGTTTAGTTTTGATAAGACCAGAGAATAGAAACCGGATAGGCTACATGTTTCCTTTTGCTAGGAGTCTCAGCCAGAGTCATCCTTGTAGATTCCCGGGGATTTTCCTTACGTTAGGTTTCTACCTGACCCTGAAATGTTCCCCTTTTCCACTCAGTTGTCTCTTTCAGTATTCTCCCCGCTTACCCTCCCCATCTGATGCTAACCCCTCCCACCTCCACTGTGGTTGTTTTTAACAAGACTAGGAACCTTTGAAAGAGAGTATGGGTTTTTTCAAGACATAGCTTGACAGATGTCTGATGAACAGTTGTGTGATCTTAAGCAAGCGAACTGCCCAGCCTTACACTGAGTCTGTGCCACTGTACGCAGGTTGCAGGGGCAAGTAAATAAAATAGTATGTGGAGATGTTCTGGGCACAGTGCCTGGCACACGGTTCATGCAGGCACCTTCCTTTTTCAGGAATGTAAACTATGCATACAACGTAAATTATGTCTCTTTCTCTAGGCTCTTGCCATTGGGCTGACTCTGTGGCAGGAGACTAGGGCAGAAAGTGATATCACAATCAGTACATAAAGGAAATTAGTGACCTAGAAGAAGAATCGACTTTTTTTTTGTTTAGTTTTGTTTTGGTAGCTTGACACAAGCTAGAGTCATCTGGGAAGAAAGAACCTCAATTGAGAAAATGTCCCCATCAACAAGTATGTGGGGACATTTTCTTGGTTAATGATTGATGTGGGAGGGCTCAGGTGGTGCTGTTCTTGGACTGGTTGTCCTGGGTTATATAAAATAGTGAGTGGAGTAAGCCATAAAGCAAGCCAATAAACACCGTTCCTCAATGGCCTATTTCAGTTTCCGCCTTGAAGTTCCTGCCCTGACTTCCCTTTGACGATGGACTGTGATCTGGGTGAGTAAGCCAACCAACCTTTTTCCTCTCCAACTGGTCTTTAGAACACAGGAATAGAAAATAAACTAATAAAATGTCCCTATGGGATTTCTTTTCTAGGTTGCATGAACCTGGACGTGATGGGGGGTGCTACCAGACCTGGATATCTCCCTTAACTCTTACAATCCTCACTGACGCTGCAAGTGGATGGGACAGGAGAAACAAGAGGACGAAGAAAGGAGGTGATAAATGAGAAACCGAAGAAAGAAGGAAGATTGAGAAGACACGGAGAGAGGAAGGGAGGAAGAAAGCATTAGGGAAGGGCAAAGGCAGTTCAGCAAGCAGAGAGCACAGACCCTGCACGCCTCTTCTCAGAAGAAGGCTCTTGGTAGCTTTCCATGCCTTTATTTATCTCCCCCAGCCTTGCACGAAAGCTGTGTGACCCACCACTTCTATATTTCAGTCTGCTCCCTGAGTATCAGGAAGGGTTAAGACCCACACACCAGGGCAGAATAGAGCTTGTTTACTGCAAGATTCATGTCTGGTCCTGCAAGGTATTTCCTCTGTCGCCCCACAACCCTGATGAAAGGGAATACGGATGCTGCACCAAGGGCAAGGTCACGGTGAGGCATGCAAATTGGCGTTGTGGGGGCGGATTGCATCGGGAAGGCAGCTTCTCTACCCCCACGCACGTCTGGATCACGCCTGCCCAGGTAACAATCAGACAAGATCGTTTTCTGCCTTTTCTCCCTAGGCCAGCTCTCCAGAGCCTCTTTTCTAGGCGAGGGTCCCACGGGGGTGTTTTCCACGCCACAACGCATTTCAGTCAACTGCTGCCTCTCCAGGGGCTCCTGCATCTCGGTGTGGGATGCAGGGTTGTCATCGGAGTTACAATGTTTACTAGTCGCTCAGGCGGCCCTGCTCCTACAGTCATCTATTAAACCCCTCTCGTCTGGGGCTGCCACACACCACCGCCACCGGAAACAAGACAGACAAGCTCTCTGCCCTCTTGGAGCTTATGTTTTGGTTGGAAAGAAAGACGTAAAACTAAACGCGCAAACACACACCCCATGATGAATTTGCCAGAAGTGGTTACTCGGGGCAGGTGGTGGAGAAAGAGCCTTCGGTGCCAAGAGGCCGAGGCGGCAAGTTAGCACCACGGACATGCAGATGCGGGGGTTTGAATGTCCCCTGAGGTAGAGCGGGGTGCTGATAATAAGGATGAAATTGATCTACTTCCCTCTCGTTTCCTTCCCCTCAGATGAGAAAGGACGTGAAGGCCTCCACCTGATGCTGGTGTGCTTTTCTGGGCTCCCCAGCCTGCAGAACTGTGAGCCAAATAAACGTCTGATTTATAAATTACCCAGCCTGTGGTATTTTGTTATAGCATCAGAAAATGGCTTCCGATAGAAAAATTGATAGGCAGAAGTGCAGATGTTGATGTGAAAGCGTAGAATTGGCTTTGGAGCTTAGGCGGCAGCAGAAGTGAAGGAATTTGAAGGAGCAGACTAGAAAGATCCTGACTGCTATGAGAGAGTGTTTAGGGTGACACCGGTGAGGTCTCAGGAGAGAGCTGTAGGGCAAGTATGTGTGTTCCCCCTGTTTGGTCAAAAGTGAGATCCCAGCTCTCTGACAACCCTATATCCAAGGAGCCTGGTATGATTGGAAGTGTCACCCCAGCCCCTGGCCTGGGAGTTGCCTTATTCGGGACTCCACCTCCAAAAAAGCCCACCAAGCGCTGACTCCTCCCCAGGGAGGGCCAGGACCACTCCCACAGGCTATTTAGGCTGCCGCCCAGAAAAGGAACGGGTGGTCTTCGGGTTTTGCGTGGGCCTCCCCGCAATACCCCTGCTCCATGCTCTCCCGGCCACTCGAGAGCGCTGCAGTAAACGTGGCATCTTTTATTCTGTCTAATTTGGTCTGATTGGAATTATTTGCATCGGTGGAGAGGCTTGTTTTGAGATTATTCCTAACACCCCCCCCCCCCAATGCTTGCCCTACTGCCTAAGGGGCTGGGGCCAGAATGTTGGCAGAAATCTGAAGAGCAGAGGCCACTCTGATGCGATCTCACTGGGGGGAGAGGGGGACAGGGAATTAAATTAAGGAAAGGCCACCTCCATCATGGGTTTGTGACCGTGCCCTAGGGGTCCGTGAAAGGTGGGACTGGAGAGTTAGTACTGTGCAAAGTGACATGATGGAAGGAATATCGAAGCAGCAAAGCGTCTGACCAATTTCATGGCTTATTTGTGTGTGTGTGGGGGGGGGGTCGGTTGTGTGGTACACGCACATGTGTGTACATACGTGTGTGTACACCCTTGGGTGACTGTGTGGAGACTGACGTCAGATGTTTTCTTCAGTTGCTCTCTGCCTTATTTTTCAGTTTTATTTTCACTTTCTCGCGTGTATGTGTGTGGTATATGTGTGCTTTTTACATGAGTGCTGAGGATTTGAACTCAGGTCCTCAGGCTTGGGCAGCAGGCACTCCCACCCACCCAGCCATTTCTCCAGCTTCATCTTAATCTTTGAGATGGAGTTGCTCACTGAGCCTGGAGTTCACTGGCAGTTCACACCAGTTTACACTGACCAACAAGCCCCGCTCCCCACTTGAGATCTTCGGGGTGGGGGGGGGGGTGTTTCCACCTGCCAGAGTTCAGATTACAGGCCTCTGTGCCTGGTTTTTCCCCCTGGTGCTGGGGAATTCAAATTCAGGTCCTCATGCTCACTCTGCTCATTTTGCAGCTGGGGTCTTTCTGGAATAAACGCACTACTTCCCCTCCTAAGAGCTAAGAGCTCTGTTTGTAGTAACAAGTGCCCTTCAAAGCACGGGCCCCATAGAGGGCAAGCATTAACTTTAGAATTCTCCTAGATCCCTTGCAAATGACAAAGGAACTTTTCTGCTGCCCCAAAGGAAGAGTCCATAAGCCTTAAATTACTTTCTTTCTTTCTTTTGTTTTCCTCCAGTTCTGTCTAACCCTTCCCTTTGGAGGAAATAATCCAGTTGGATCAGCTGATGTTCATTTGTGCTGCTGGAGATGCCCTCCGTTTGGTGTGGAGTGGCACCCTGCCCTGCCTCTCCCTCCCGTTTCCTTTTCATTCCTTCCCCGGCTGTGAATTGGTTTGAATATCATTGACATAACCGGCTTGTGTTTGCATATTCCTCCTGCTCCCGGAGCCCGCTGTCATTACAGATTCGTACACACCCTGTCCTCTGGTTCCCCCCCCCGAGAGGGTTCTTATGGAAATTATTGACATGCGAGTGCTAGGGCAAAGGGACAGGGAGCAGAAAGCAAGGGCTTGATAATACACAAGCAGAAATCTGCTCGGGGTTCTCGCCTCTGAGGCAGATGCTCTTTGAGGAGAAATGCTTTGAGCATTTCCAGTTAATAATGTAAAGAAGATTAATATGCGTAGCATTTACGTTAGCGAGGCAGTTCCCAAAGGACCGTGATTTATGTTAGATCCTGTGGCCTTCCCACAAACTGGGGGACGGGCCTCCGACCATTGTCAGTCCGCTGTCAAAGGAACAGGTAAAACCTGTCTGTAAGGGTAGATGAAAGCAACTGGGGCTTGGTCACCAGCTGGTAATTGGTGCCATTGAGACTAAAGTCCACGGTGCTGGAACTTAAGGTCAAGTGCTTTGTGCAGACATACAGTTTAACTCTACAGAGCAATACAGACCACCATTTTTGCATTCTTGGCGGCAGTTGACTGGAAGAAGGATTCAAAGGGAATTGGATATGAACTAGCCAGGAGGGGGCGCTGTGGAGATGACACAGCCCGTGAGACATCTGCCACGCCCAAGGATGAGGATGTGAGTGTAGATCCCCAGAACCTACTTCAAAACTCCCGAGGTGGAGTGTCCTATGTCTCTAAAGCCTCTGCTGGGGAGGTGGAGAGCAGGAGAACCCCTGAAGCTCATTGGCCAGCCAGTCTAGCCAAAGCGATGCGCCCCGGGTTGAGGAAAATACATAATAATAAGCAAACAAACCCAGAAGTGGGGAGTGACCAGGAAAGGCATCTGATGTCAACTTCTTCTGTGTCCACAAACAGACACCAAACACACCCACACCCACACATTAAATAGGGCGTAGGGATGAAGTGATTGACTGGGTCTTTCTTTCTTTCTTCCTTTCTTTCTTTCTTTCTTTCTTTCTTTCTTTCATCTAATAAACATGTCAAACACTGTTACCCACAATGTGACAATGCACAGTAGCCTGAACACCAGTAGAATAATATTCTGAACAAACACTGACCAGACATTTCTCTCCACCGTCCCTCCCCCTTCCTCCCCACGTTTCCAGTCTCTCTTGAGCCAGAGTTCCGGCTGACAGAAAGAGCATGAAAAACCTCTTCTCCTAGCCTCTTCTTGCAGATGTGCAATGAGAACTTGAGAGCGATGAAGAACTGCTCCTGCCAATGTGGAATACCCAGTAGACACAGGCTTACCCTAACCCAGTGGGAGTTCAGTGTCTTTTATGGTGATTAGTGCCACTTTACCGGAACTTCTAGCCAGGCTGCAGGACAAGAGTCAGACCAAAAGAGTTAAAGTGACCACAGCAGGTAAGGGATTAACATTCTAGTTTTGCATTGAAAATGGATTAGCTTTATATCATTCTTGAGAGAAAGGATAACTCACATCATTTATCATTTTCCGTAGTTTAATCCTCCTGAGAAACCCATGCTCAGATAGACTGGGTATACATGACGCCATTGATTCTCTCAAGGGGTTTAGCTGTGGAAATTGGACAGGCACACACACACCTCTGCAAACAATCAGGAAGAGGAAGCTTGTTTGGCCAGACTTCATCCCCAAGATGCACTCAGGGAGAGTCTCTTAGCATCCTCTCACTAAAGAAGCAGCTGAATGTTCAAGGTCACTCACCCCTGCCCCACCCCACCCCGCAGAAATCAAGAGGCCGAGCTAAGTCTGAAGAACTCTTGCCCATACCATTGTAAAATAAGCAGCTTGACCTAATTCCCAATTCTCTTTCAGGCTGCCAAGTGACCAGAGGGCCCAAGGCCATCCCCATTGTCAAGGACAAAGAGAAGGCTCCTGTTCTGGAGAGAGAAGAAGGTCTTTCTCCAGGCATACTGAGGTCTTGGTCATCTTTAAATTGATATTTTAGAACGTCCCACCCTGGGTCTGTTTGTGGGAAACCAAGCCAGATGTCATGAAAAAGAATTACAGGAGAGTATCAGTAAGAAAGGAAGAGCCATCTGCAGAGCGACTGTAAGAAAGGGGGACGAATTTATGAAGAGTTTGGGAGATGTGATTGGAAGAGCAAAGAATTGTTAGTTTACAAAGAGAATTAGGTTAACTAACGACCATCTTCCTAAAGCTTAATTAAGTCTCTCAGCCCTCGAGTGAAGCAAGGAAATAATTGATTTCTGCATTGCTGTTGGGGAAAGTGAGGAGGGGAGGTAATTTGCTTTTGGCCAACAAGGGAGCCAGCATCTGTCCTGGGATTAAAAAATCTAAGATTTTTTTTTTAGCTCTTGGTCTTTTGTTTTACTTCTGAATTTGGAATGTTCAAGGCCCAGAAGAATTTTGGGAACCCCAGAGCAGGACTGTCAACCAAGATATTCCATGCAAATGAGACCAAATAATTAAGGATTTATTTCTTAGTAATTTTCTGTCCTTCAAAGAAATACCACAAACAATTATTCATCACTTGCGAGTCAAGGCACGGGGGGGGGGGGCGGATTTTAATAAGTGCCAGCACTTTCCATTGTTAGTCTTGCCCATTCCTCAGAGGCACTGCGTATGGTGCCAGAGGGTGTTTGGAAATCTCAGCATTTAAAACAACCAATGTCATGAACAGAGGGAGACAGTGGTGGAGGGGGTATGGGGGAGCTTGAAAGAGGGAGGGAAGGGCAAGTAGGAGGAAGGGAGTGATGTGGTGAAGGAGAAGGAGGGAGAGAGAAGGAGAAGAAAAGATAGGGAGTAGAGAGAGGAAGATGGAAGAGGGTCAAGGAAGAAAAGACTAAGGAACATGTTTAGAAAATTGTGTAGAGGAGCAAACAATTATTAAATGCTCACTGTGAGCGAGGACTGTTAACGGCTTCCTGAGAAGAACCTGAGTTCGTGTGTGTGTATGTGTGCATGCACACACGTGTGTGCATGTGTGTGTGCTTGCAAGAGAGAGAGAGAGAGAGAGAGAGCGAGAGAGAACACACGAGTGCTTGTGGAGGTCAGAGTACAATTTGTGAAAGTTGGTTCCCTCCTTCAACCATGTGGGTCCCCAGAAATTGAACTCCGGTCATCAAGCTCCGTGGTAAGTTCCTTAACATGCTGGAGTCCTCATTCGATTATTTCAGGCAAACTCATAGACTGATGGAAGGGTGAAGCCTCTTTCTCAAGG